AGTTGTTTCTATCCCATGTAGCAGTTTGGCTAACAGCATACAATATTTTAAAAAAGATCAATTTTTTTTACTTCAAGGCTGACAAAAGGTTGTATGTTAAAATTATAATAAAAGCAAATAGAATAAACAAATAAATAAAATAATAAAAGTGCAACTGAAAACCAATAAGTAAAGTCAGTAGAGTTTTAGAAAGAGCAAAACCTGTTACATCATAACTAAAACAGGTTATTAGGAAGCTTGGCTATATAAAAGAATTCCAAAAGGTATACAAATTGATGCCAGGCAAGCTTCTGGGGGCTGGCCCATTATTTCATGAGGGGACTACATAGAGGGATTTGAGGATTTTAGTCTCTGGTAAAGGAAAAAAGGCTCCAGAAAAGCTGATGTGATATCCTTTGTAGAGCCTAGTTCCAAACTGTTTAGGGCTTCATTGGTGAAATAATCAGTACTTAGAATTCTGCACAGAAATGTACCAGTAACCAGTGTTATAAGTGCTATACCCACTCTAGTTGATCCTAGTCAATAACTTTGCAGATGCATTTTGTATTAAGTGAAGTTCCAAAGGAGTCGTCAAAAGGAGCTGCACGTACAACACATTGCAGTATACAGGCATAATGCTGCAAGCAGTCAGGAAGCAAAATGCATGCATCGATATATGTCCTATCCCTCTTCACTTTTCCTTTTCATACAGTTTGAACAGAGGCTGATCACAATAGAAAGGATATAATATATTCTTGTAAACATTCTATGCTAAATGTGCATGAGCTCCTTCCTTCAAGCCAACAAAGAACCAGTACTTGCCTCTCCAAATCACTATGAAAGCAAACTGTGTGGTTAAAGTAATAAACAAGGAAAAGGATTCATTGCTTTCCAGTGGCACTACTGCACAAAAACAGAGTTACAAGGCACAGAGGTACCTAGGTATCCATGATATTTCCATGGGATTTCAACAAAACCCTCACATCACAGACTATATCTGTGGCCACAAAGATAGGGTATGATTTGCTAGGTTTTTGTGTGTGTGTGTGTGCGTGTGTGTTTTGGAGGGGAGAGTCTTTTGAAAAAAGCATAGCATGTGAGGATCTGTGCCACAGATCTTATTGTACAGTGGGGGCTCTAGTAATGTTAGAATATAATTTTTGTATCTGTAAATTTTAAGGTAACCATTGATTTAATGTTGGTTAAAGATATTGGTATTTATCTATAATACTTGAGCCTAATATTTCTGAAGCTGCTTGTTCTCCCAGTTTTCTTTCCTGTGTACTTGGAAATCTCATCTGCATTACAGTTGACTTCTGTTAAGTTCTTCATGTTGTTAGTAGGATAAACTAGAAAGAACTGAGGATATGTTTCTGTACTGTTTATTTTGTGCAGTATAATTTACTAAATGAGATCTTCCCATTTAATGAGCTGTAACTAAATCTATGATAATAATTATAGGTAAAAGCAGGTTTAAAGATACAAGGATTTTTAAATCAAGTGTTAATTCTGCGAGGAATATTAGTCATCTGGATTAAGAACTTGTTAAATTTTTATACTTTGCATGTTTGTACCAAAGACACTGCTCAGCTCAAATATGGTTTATATTCTAACAGTTGATTATGTCTCTGGGCACTTACTCATGGGAAAAGCCCAAGATGTCTTAGATCTACTTTGACGTAACATATTTCTGTACTGGAATTCATTAGTACAGAGCAACTAACAACGATTGGTTGCGGTTTACATAGAAAATACTGCCAAGTTTACATTGCTGTCTTTAATTATAATGGTGCTTACTTTCCATAACCAGAAAGCTTGTTAGGGAGATGGAGTTTAACTGGTGACATTTACAGCTGCACAATTTGGTATACTCTGACTGCATCTCGAGTGCCTTGATTTATGGAATACTTTTCCCTTAAAATATAAACAAGGCTAGGAATGAATGCGTAGATCCATTGTTGATATTTGACTGGTACAGAAACCATGCTTCATGACTCTCATGTATCCGTCATCTGTCATCTACTAGAGAAATTACTGCTGTTCATTGGGATAGTGGACACTATTGTGTATGACATAGAAATAGGAGTCTATCTAAAAAGTGAACTAGGAACAATAAAGCCTTCTTGGAAAAACCAAGTACAATTCTATTTATTTATTTTCTTTAAAATAAGTGTATGCCCAATTTTCAAAGTGACGTGATCTCATAGCAATTTACAAGATAAAATAAAAAAGAATAGAATATAGAATACAATTATTGAAAACAGCAGTGTTTGTATGTATTGTTTATCTATAATTCTATATAGATCAAATCAAAATCAATATTGTTCAAATAGCTTGCTGTGGGTATTGTAGTAAATAATAGAGAAAATATGCCATCCCCAGAGGGCTTTCACGCTGATTTTTAGCATTTCCAATCCATGCTAAAGAATATTTTTTTCAACTTTATAGGGACCAGCTACCTGTGTTTCTTTTTCAAGAGCAGGAGACTTTTTTGCGTCTGGAGGTTTTGATGAGCAGGTACTGCTTTTGTAAATAAATTGTGTAGCAAGTGTATGCTTACAATAGAAATGGTGTATGCTCACGAGTGCTGTGCAACCTGTTAGATTCAAAGGCAAAAAGGTGCTTTGGAACGCATGAGTGTGCTTACATAGTGCCCTAATTGCAATTCCTTAAAGGAGCTATGCATTTTCCTGTGATCACCCAACCCCAGGAAAAGATGCATTTGGCTTTAGGAGTTGCAAACAGATGCTACATGAACACCCCCATGCTCACCAATCTAATGGTGCCTACAGTAAATGTCCTAGAGAGTGCATCAGGGAGCAGCCTCATCATTTGCTATTTTGTAACAGATTATATCTGCTGTGACAATTGTTTTGTGAATTGGCAAGAAAACCCTCCACTCTACAAGTGCTTGTGAGCACTTGTGGCCTATTCTCAAATTAGAAAATGTGCCCATTGACCCAAAAGGGGTGGGAACTCTGTGAAGTAGTCATATGGAAAAGGCTGTCTTGTCTTTAACCATTGATGGCTTAGAAGTGTCAGTGTTAAAGCTACTCATTTTATTATTAGTGGCTCTGGGCTTTCTTGGGAAGAAGATTTATATATAATGAAATGAATATGTTTAATATTTTCTCTCCACTCTTTTGTGAATGATTAGTGCACATGAACAACATAAATCCAAGATTTATTCTGAAAGAATTTAGAATGGGACAAAGAAATAAAATGAAATCAGATGGTTTATTTTTCTCTTATATTTATTATAATGTGTTAATTATAGTTGCTTTATGTCCCTTTATGCTTCATGTGGCAAACATAAAGATGACTTAAATCTGCATACTCTGTTATTTTTGAAACCTCATAAAACTTATTTAACCATATTAAGAAAGAGAAAAGTAGAGATACCAGCAATGATGGCTCCTTGAAGTAGAATGTCAGGCCTGTAGGCTCCATCATTCTGATGCCCTGCCTGGCCTTCTGCTCCCAGTCTTGTGCCTGTTTATTCTAAGCCCTCAACTCCCAGAAAGAATCTCTTGCTGCAGCACTGAAAATGTAAGATGAAATATTTCCATCTTTCTGATGAAAGCATCTCAATTCCCATTATTTCTTATGAATGCTCACTGTTTTAGGGCATCCATTTAAAACAAAATTAATCTCTGTGGAGTTATTTTTACACAGGAAGAGCAGAAATTCCAAACAGCCAGTAATTGGAAGCACTCCCCTTCTAATTCTAGTGGCTTGGGGCTTTGCCCACTCTGCATTTTTTTTTCCTTTGAGAAGAGTTGCTGGATGAGTAAGAGCCTGCATTTACAGATGTTCTCCAAGAAATTGCCTGCCCTGTGTGGGGACAGCACAGGTAGTTCTAGGACCACTTGGAACTTAATCTTATGCTTGTTAAAAACCACGTTAACGCTCTTAACAAGTGGGGACAAGCAGGGATAAAGAATGAGATAAAAATTTACTTTTAGATAAAAAATAGCAATTATGTACATACAATGGTTTTTAATATAGTATTGATCAGAGAGTCTCTTGCTATCAAATTCATTTAGGATTTCAGGTTGAAATCATTTTGATAATCCTTCAAATCAATTTCTATAAAAATCCATAAAGTATTATATAATATCTAGAATGAGCAAGGAGTGTATAAACTACTGCACTGCCCTTTCAATAATCCTGAGTCTGATTATTAATTCATTTTTACAGATTTCTGTAAATTTTACCTTTTCAGGTAATGGTTTGGAAGACAAACTTTGATGCTGCTGATTATGGTGATACACTAAAAGCCCAGAAATATACTACAAATGTGAATGGTCTTGATTATGGTAGTAGCCTGAAAACACAGAAGTCCAGTATGCATATGAATGGCAATTTTAACAGTATGGTAAGTTGATGGAATTGTTATTCTAGTTTTTTCTGTTTTATATTACTTGGTTTGAAACAAAAGGTATTTCCTACTTTCTTAGATAATACGTCTGCTATATTTATTTAATACAGCAATACCACTGGGCAGTAAGCTGAGAAGATGTGATCAGCCTTTTCTTACCTAGCAAGTTCTGTGGTTGAAGAGCAATTGAAGTTGGATTTCACCAGTCTTAATTCAACACTTTAACTAGTACTTTACATTATGCTAACTCTCATCTTTTTGATGAGAGTTTGCTTTTTCCATAAACAGGCAGTCCCCAGGTTAAGAATGAGTTCTGTTCCTAAGCCTGTCTTTAATTCGAATTTGCATGTAAGTTGGAACTTGTACTTATGAACGGGCTGCGTATTACTAAAAATGGTGGCCGGCGTTGTTCTTCCTCGAGCTGACGAACCACTGAAGCCATGCAATGTTTTCATGAACTGCTGAAAACAGGCTGTATATTAAAAATGTGTGGCTTCAGTGGTTCATGAAAACATTGCTTGGCTTCAGCGGTTTGTCAGCTCGAGGAAGGAGAACACCAGCCACCATTTTTAGTAACAAGCAGCCCATTTGTAAGTATGGGTTGTCCATAAGTCAGACGTTTTTAACCCAGGGACTGCCTGTACTTGCTGATAATATTGTCAGTAGTGATGATAATTAATCCCCAGAAAGATCAAGACAGTCTGGAATGGAAAAGGATTGATTTTGATAATTGGAAGTTTTTAACTGCTGTAGAGCTTTAGAATTTTTGTTTATTTGAGTTAAAATAGATGCGTGCTCTTATTACAAGGAAAGCACTGAAAGTAGCAGAAAGAAACTCATGTGTCAGAACTGGGAGAAGTGTTTTCTTTAGCAATCTGGCTTTCTGACCATTGTCTGTGCATGCTGATCTTTCTTATTCTGATATACTCTGCCATTTTGGACTATGAAACTACTATCTAATTCTCACTACTATTTGAAACAGGTGCCAACATAAAATAGAACTAATGCTTTGCGTTTTCAGCTTTTTTTTTTTTAATTATCCCTTGCTTATCATTTCTCACAGTTATTCTCTACTGATAATTATAATTAGTTTACAGATGGAGTTAAAAGAATGACAAAGCAGCAGGCAAAAAAAATAAAAATGATTGGTAGGGCAGGTTAACCATTTGAGAATGTGAAACTGTATGAAACAGTTAAAGGCAAAGAGTAATGTGCAGCATTTGGCTCTGAAGTGGGTAAAAGTGCTTTGGCTCCATAGTGGCCATTCTTTCTTTACCTGTCAGCTCTCTACCTGAGAGAAGAAGCGCACGTACTGGGGCCAAAGCATCCTTGCTTGATTTGGATTCAGATATTGCATCACTAGCAGTCAGCCGGATTGAGTGAAAGGCAAAGAGCAGATAGAGTGGTAAGAAAGAATAAATAAGGTTGGCAACAAGGGAAAAACAGTAGAAGCTTTTATGAACAATTCCTGGGATGGCCTCTGCTGGTCTAGAACATAAATTATGGAAATGAGGAAGGGAAAAAAAGGATATTAAGCTTAGTTCCAGGAGAGTCAGTTGAGCGAAATATTTATTTATTTATTTATTCATACATACATACATACAATTTGTAGGCCAATTGATTCCCAATAAGCAAGTATAATAATTCCAATTATTTTGTTACTATCCCATTGTATCATTTACTTCTCTGAATTCAGTATAAAGGATCCCCCCCTGGGAATTTTGAAATAGGATAAAATGTAAGAACATTAATCTTTGTTACTTAAACTTTTCAAATAGAAATGGAAGGACATTACTTTATAGTAATGTGCACGTGTGCAAACACACACACACATACATACACACTTATATGGACATATATAATAGCTACTACCTGTGCTCTCAGTCTGAGAGTGATTCAGATGATGATATTCAATTATCCTATATTTTCCAACCTTATCTTCTACATTTTTCCTGTTCACTGTTACTGCAGTGTCTTTTTTACTGGTAATTGTAGGAGTCCTTGGTTTGGAAGTTTAAAGAGTTACAAAATACTTCATATAGTGAAACCTTGTTTTGGCGGAGTAATTATTCTTGAAAGTCCATTGAGTCCAGAGAATCTATTGAATTGCAAATTACATCATTTGCATGATGACATCGTTACTCCAATGACACAAACTGCAATGGACTTTCATTCATTGCATGTAAAGCCACTTCAACTGAGGCCCTTAAAATTGAGGTTTCACTGTAATTAAAAAAAATCAATGTAATCTCTCTTTGATAGAAATTCTTGTTCATAGGGTAGAACTTATTTCTAGAATGAGGGTTGTCTGGCTTCTTTCTCAGTATCATTGATGTAGTTGTGTCGGTAGATGTGCTCTTGATAAACAAACGTTTAGTATTTAAGACAAGTTAACCTGCTTCATTAAGGTTATTGATCCATAATGATATTCCTGCACATATCTGTATGTGAAGGAAAGCAAATTGCACACTCATAGAAAGAGATTGGAATCCTACTACAGGTAGTCCTTACTTACTAATTACGATTGGGACCAGCAACTCCATTGCTAAGCAATGCAATCATAAAATGAAATATTACATGATTGCATCTGACTTACAATGTCAGTTTCAGCTGCAGTCATGAAGCAAATCACCCATAGTCATTAAACACAACACAATGTCATATGATTGCGACTTGCAACTTCCTGCCAACTTCACCATTGACTTTGCTTGCTGGAAGCTGACAGTGAAGGTCGCAAATGGTGATCACAGCAGAATGCTGTGACTGTCATAAATGTGCACCCAAATCGCAATCCTATGACTGCAGGAATGCTGCAACAGCCAGAAGTTTGAGGATCGGTCATAAAACTCCTTTTTCAGCACTGTCGTAACTCTGAACAGGTGCTGAATGAGCAGTCGGTAAGTGAGGATTACCTGTATATGTGCTGGTAGTAAAAGCCACATGTTGCTCTTCACAGATGAAGTTATTCATGGATTTCCTTTTACAGATTGTAATGTGGTCCTAATATAAGTTAGGTAAGTGTTCTCTTGCCTATTCTAGCAATCCTATTAGATGTAGCAAGATTAAAAGAGTAGCAAGGTTATAAAAGTAGAAGAATTACATGTTCTTAAGCCCTCCACTATTCCAAAATGTGTATCTGCTTCAAAATCAGGCTCTTGTCCACTGCAGGTATGCTATAATTTCAGTTGTGTATTAAAATAATGTATGTGGAGAAGTGCTACTGAAATACTAATAATAATGTATATGGGCAAATGAAGGTCCAATCCAACATGACTTCTCTCTTCCTCCCATATTATAACAAAACACAAACTCTGGTAAATTTTACAAAAAATCCTATGAACACTGGGGGAGAAATCTGAAATTCGAGTACAAACCATGTTGGAATCATCTTTATGTTTGCAATTATTGCAATCATTTTTCATATGAATATTCTTGGAATACTACAGAAATTTGCTGAAGAACGCATACAATCATGTGAAAAAGAAAGTACACCCTCTTTGAGTTCTATGGTTTTACGTATCAGGACATATAAAAATCAACTGGTCCTTAGCAGTTCTCAAAAGCAGGTAAATACAACCTCAGATGAACAACAACACATG